ACATTCTAAGCTTCCAGCAGTTGCTCTGGCTGGCAAGTGCACTGCTTATATTTATGCCATTCGTGGTGATGTTATGTGAGCAAATGGCCTGAAGTCAGCAAAGCTAAGAGGACAGGGATGTGGCATCATGGCTGAAGGGCTCAACCAGCCCTGAAACATCGGCCACACCCTCTGTCCCAACCCCAGTAGCAGTGACTGGGGTCCCCCTCTCTGGATGTTGTCTGGCTTCAACCTGGTGACCAACTCTGCCTCAGCTTGGTCCCAAAATGTGCCATGGATTCCAGGGCCCCAGGTCACCACACCAAGCAGCCTCCCTGGTACCAGGCCAGCTGTGTTCAGATGAGGAAGGGCTAGAGTGGCTGCGATGTGCAAACGTGGAGGCAGCGCAGGTTGGCCCGAGTGCGGGCTCTGTTGCCAGCTTGAGAGGTGTGGTGTGGCAGCTTTGGGCCCAAGCTCCGCCTGCCCTGAGAAGGAAGCTGGGGTGTCTGTGGGGAAAATTTGTAAGTAAGCAGCTGGTTCTGGTCCAGGGATGAGGGCCCGCTTGCAATGCGGTTCACAGTCCTGTCGGGTTCTTGCCAAGGTAGCACGGCCTCTAGCAGTGGGTCATCACTGTCCCCAGAGGCTGAGCAACTTCCAAACAGCAACCTCTTCCATTCTTTCCTGGGATTCAGGCAGCAAGTGACAGCCCTCAGGCAAACTTCTTCAGGAAACGGTGCAGATGGCACTGGAGTGCTGTGTCTTCAGGGCCTGCTGTCTCTGAATTTCTTTGGAAATCCGTCTTTTAATCCCTATTAAGTACAGTTCCCGGTCAAACTTGCCAGCAGCTAGCGGAATGCTGTGGAGGAAAGAGCTGTCAGGAAGGTAGGATGGGGCCGCCCAAGGGGTGCCCAGCCCGCACGTACCCAGAGCAGTTGTGAGTCAGGACAGCTATGCCAAAATAATTGGGGGTCCGGCCAGCCCCATGGGAGTGGCTCTCAAGTGACAGCCGCTTCCTATCAGCCCATGGCAGCAATCTTCCTGGGGCTGTGGAACCCTGCTCCTGCCTGGGGGGTCAGGGCCTGAGACAAAGGCCTGCACAAAGGTCTGAAGATGACACCCCTGCAGGAGTGAGCAAGGGTTCCACCCTGTCCCTGACACTCCCGATCTGGGCCCCAAGCCCTGCGAGTGAAGAGACTGGGAGGATACTGACTTGTCTCTCCCCGGCCTCACTTTCACCCGGAATAGGCCATACACGGGGCGGTGGTCAGAGGTCTTGATCCCAGGACAGGAGGAGTATTTGAGTGGACAGATGTCGTCCTTGTGGCGGCTTCGGTACATGACCCGGTCCTGCAGGAAGAGCCCAGAAGCACATGATGCCCAGTTTGCTGCAGGGTCTGACCTGCTTGCCCCTCCCAGCTACGTGAGCAGAGACCCATGTCAGTCCTGCCATGGGAGCCCATCCCAGAGCCCCGCATCCAAACCCACTTTATCATCAGGCATCCAGGCCTTTCCCCCACTGCCCTTATGCAACAGCCGCCTGCATAAGGTTCAGATCCACAGCCCACCTCCTGTGCTTATCCAGAGCTAGTGCAGGGGCTGCCCGCAGCCTGGCATGGTCCACCCCCCTTGGTATGGTGCCCCGACAGAGCAAACAGCCTGAGTGACTAACATTGCATTGCGGTGTGGGCTGTGAACCAGGCCTCCGAGAGCGGAGGGCCGGGTACCCACCTTCAGGACGACCCTGGGAGAAGGGCACTCAGGAGCAGTCACTGGCCGGAGCCAAGTGTCACATCCGGGTCATGTGTGACGGCCCCCTGGGGCCCCCCCAGTTCCAGGCACTGCTCTCTCAGTGACCTGAGTGCAGAGCCTGTAGCTCAGGAGTCCCCTGCTCTGGAGCATGAGCACATCCAATGTCGCCAGCAGGGCCAGTCACGCTCACCGTGTAGGACGGGGTCCTCTGCTTGGACGAGGTATCATATGAGTCCTTCCCAATGTCAAACTTGTACGACGGCAGGAAGTGGATGTCTGGCTCCTGGAAGCCCTTGAAGATGGACCCTGGGGTGGGCGTGGGCATAGGCATGTCTCAGATCAATGGTGTGGCACTCCGGTTTCACCCTCTCCTGGGGCCTCCCCCCTTCTGGGCCATCACTCCCTGACACCTGCCCCAGCCTCACCTTTCTTCATCTCACGGGCGAGCTGGTCAAGCTGCAGCAGGGCAGGCACGCTTGCGCCCAGGTCCTGCTTGAGGATGGCCTCCACAGACACGCGCCCGCTGCTCAGGCGGAAGTTGAAGTCTCCAAACCAGAACACCCCGTCAAAGCGGGTGGTGACATCCGCTGGGGCACAAGCCAGAAAGTGCGTGAGCCCAGCCTTTCCCACGTGCTGTGCCTTGGCTACAGGGATTGGTCTGTGTCCCCTGCCTCCATCAGTCTCCACTCAACTACCCAGAGAACAAGGAGAGGCTGCCCCGGGGAAGGGAAGCACCCGTAGACAACACAGACCTGCCTGCTCACCTGAGTCAGAACGATAGGGGCAGGTGTCTGGGACGTTCTTGGGCAGGGCCAGGCCTTGGATGGTCTTGCTGTAGTCCAGCAGCCTCTCACTGACCTTCCCGTCGCCAGCTGCAAGGACAGAATGGTGGGAGCCTCTCGAGGGGCAGGTCTCTGACTCGGCTGGGCCCTGGGTGGTCAGTCCGGGGTGGAAACCCCCTGCAGCAGCATGCTGTCACCATGCAGGACCTGCAGTGACCCACCCCACTACCCCTCTCGAATGGAGCCCGCAGGAGGAGGCCACCATCATAGCTATCAGGGTCTTTTAGGACCTGGGGCTGCAGTAAGCGAGGCCAAGGTGAGGGACCCAGCACCCTGCCTTCCAGGCTGTCCTTCCACTGCCTGGAGTCAGGTGCAGGTGACTTACAGGTGAAATGGGACGTGATGAAGAGGAAGGAGGTGCCGAAGAAAGTGAAGCCGACGCCCAGGGCCCCCTTGGTCTTGATTTGGGACACGATGCGCGTGGTCACCGTGGAGGTCTCCACCTCTGCATGAGAGGAAGCAGAGCTGACCAGACCCCCCCCCT